GGGGTGGGCAAGGAGCTGTAGCAATAGTTTTGTTATTAAAGAACTTTTAGTGTGCTCTGAAGGAACAAACATAATGCAATGTTCTTATTCTGGGTATTCACAAAAGCAAACTGTTGAAACAATAAGCATGGGCAATGTCACCACCACCACCAGGGAAAAATCTGTTAGGGTTGAATGGAAATTTGACAAATAAGTAGCTAGACTTTTAGCCATATGTGCCAGCATTCATTTTTGTGGCCAGGTAGATTCTTTTTCATCATCAAGAAAAAAGTTTAAAAACAAACTGACATTTCAAAGTACTGTACGTTAAATGTTGTACCTGCCAATTTTAAAAGCTGCAAATGTCACATAAATGTTAAATGTAGTTTCTAAAGCCATTTTGATGTAATAATAGTCACCACAGTAATAGAAAGAAAAATCATATCTTCTTTAGAGTGCTGTGTTCATAGTGATGTCAGCTTACAAAAATGTTAATGTATAACACACCAATGCACAAATCTAGATTAGACAGTATGTTCACAGTTGAAACAAACATGGTAAACCTCTGATTTCTAAATAATTTTTCCAGATTTATAATATTTTATTTTGTATATCTATTCATAAAATACATCCTTCCATGAGTACCATTCCGCTGTCTAGTGACAAAGTCTAAATATCCTTTTCTTGCATCTTCAGCTCATAAGTCTTTGTTAATGTTTTCTCTGTGGCATTTAAGGGGGAAATGCTCATCTTAAATAACTCTGAAGTACTAGTACAAGTCCTTAAATATATATTTGTATAATAGATGCATAAGCATGACACTCAATGGAAATATCACCAGGCTGATCCACTGTCCATTGAAATCAATGAAAAGATGCCTACCAACCTCAGAGAGCTCTGGATCTACCATACGGCCAAAACATGCATTGCTAGGAAGAATCCATGTGCCTTTTAAAGTAGCTTATCAAAGAAAGGGGGCAGGCAGAAAGAAACCCGCTCTCTGAGATCTAGAATGTATTTCTCATTAATGGTTTATCACACACACCAATACTGTACCCAAAGTTAATAAATGAAACTATCAAGGTCTGTTGATGGACACTGAATTTCCTCTGTAAGCCCTTACAAAATAACTTGGTCAAGGTATTCTTTGGAAAAGCCTTATCTGCAGCTAGGATGTATTTGGAAAATGCATAGATCTCAGCTGCCTATACATTCACTTTTCCCCTACAATGCTCTGCAAAATTTAGGAGTTGATAGAGTTCAACTATCTAAACAAGAACCCCAACACAATCACCCACCCACACCTGTACACATGCCAGAACTTAAATTGCATTCTGTGTGGCCTACCTGTCTCATTTCTTTGTAATTGTGGTGTTTAAAATCAAGATCATCTGTGGTTGTCATTTCATTTCTTCTGTGATAATAATTATTTGGGTCTGAGAAAAGAAATTTTAAAAATTGCATATAGTTATTAACTATTCCCAAAGGAAGAGATGCCAAACATGGAGAGAAAGCATTTTGCTCTGAACACCATTTTCCTAGTCATGTTTAATGAAGACTCTTTTGAATAGCTGAAGTAAACAAACAGCAGCTTTGAAATATTACTAATTACCATACAAATCAACTCGTTAAACCAAATAGGAGCAAAGAAACAGCAAGCTTATGGTAACTGACACATTTACTCTGCATTAACAACTAAACTGGGAATAATAGGAAAAGCAAAAAACACATTCTAGTGCTTTGTAAAAGGGCAAAAGACACTAGAAAATGATCAAGGCATCATTCTGATGGATTTAAGAATGGAAAGGCCACTTCAAAGGAAAAAGCCCCAGCAAATGTTATGTTTCTACCAGATAATTAGCTACTGTAGAGAACCAGTAGCTCTTTGATGCTAGCATTTTCAGAGATTGTGTACTGCCTGCAAAATATTGGGTCTAATAAATAATGGACCCACACTTGATAGTAAGAATTATTTCTAGCTAAGTATTTTCTTAAATTGACTGCAAAAGCTTTTGGGCTTTTTAATTGAAAATTAACAGACTATTTTCTTTACCATGTGGATATAATTTACTCTGTGTGATGTGTTCCATGGAAACATTTCTCAACAGAAGGCAGGCCATCACATATCTAATTAAACCAGCAGCGTGACAGTTAATAATTAGTGTCAAGCAAGAAGATGAAGGTGAAACAAAAACCTGTGCTTTCTTGCCTTTCCAGCTGAATGCACTGGAAGTTCCATTAAAGAAAAAGGTGGGATGAGCAAACTCTTTTGGAAAAGTTAGAAACACTCCCAACTCCAGCTTATGCTAATTCCAAGCAGTGAACCCAAGCCACCATTTTTGGACATTTCTGAAATGTTAATTGAGTTTTTCACCCGCACCAGGGATTATTTTTCATTGTTATTCTGTTCTGCATTTCCACGTTCTAGTCTACTGTTAGAACAGAGGCTGGCAAAATGTGGCCCACCAAACATTTGGCTTTGTCCCGCCATGACCCTCTGGGCTGCTAACGTCCCACAGCCCAGATCAGTACTTAAAATTCCCTTCCTTTAAGAGAGACTTTCAAAGCCTGGCATTTTGTCTATGCATGACATGTTTGTGTCCTAGGAATGCCATAGATTTGGTGGGTGAAACCCAAAGAAGGTAATAAGGGACCTCCCATTTCCATTGAAAATGAAAACAGTCCTACAAAAGGAGTATTGCACCTCTGGTGCTACTTCTAAAATGTGCACAACATAAGATCTCTTGTGAACAAACAACGTTTTGCCAACCTCTATTTTCAGTCTGTTCTGACCATTTTATTTTCTGTTGCAGCAGGATGCAGAAGACAAAAACCAAAACATAAAAAAACCCCAACCAACCAAAACCCCACTCTCATCTGCTATATATTAAGTCTGTCTTAGCAACAACTGTTTACCATCATTCAAACAGAAAATAAGACCCCATGCAGCTAAAATCATTGTAGCATTTCAACTGTGGTTTCCTGGCTTTATTTCAAACAATCACTCCCCCTTCTAGGAAGAAGACACCCTGAAAGTCAGGACGATTATGATGAATTCAAAAGAATGTATTGATTTTTCCAATGTCAACTTCCATTTAAGCCAGAATCACAGCAAATTTATATACTGGCTGGCAAAGGAAACTTGAAAGAATCGTTTCTGATATACTTCTACCTCTGTCCCAAAGTTAAACAACATAGTGTAAAATACAGAAATCTGTTGCACTAGCAGAGAGATGGACATATGATCTTTTCTATCTGTAATTCTATGAGAGTTTGGGTGTGAATGAGAGAGAAAGAAATAATTGCCACAATGTCTAATTGCTTCTCAACTAAAGAACATAGAGAGTTTTCAATTAATCTAAACTACTTTTATAAAACAAATGCTTATAATTTTCTGCTCACCTCTGGCATCCTCCGATTCTGCTCCACCCTATTTGTTAGCTTTGTCTCCTTTTGTATCCTGTCTGTCATGATGACTTTAGTTCTCTAGGGCAAGATCTGTCTCTTTGTTACATGTCTGTACAGTGCTTAGCACAATGAGACCATGAACTTTGAAAGGGGTTCCCAGGTGCTACCATACTATGTACAAATAAACAAATAAATAAATGGTAAGTAATTATGTCTTTCTTTCTTCAGTTTTTTAGTGTTCTTTAGGGGTGGATGTGAAATGCCATGTATGAAAAGAGTCTCATTAAGATAGGAGGGTGAAACTATAACTCTCAAAGCACCTTGCGTTACCAAATGATAAAGATTCCCTTGTATAGATTCACAGAATTTGCAGCCATTCTAATTCTGCATTTTTTGTTTGTATGTTTGTTTGTTTGTTTGTTTGTTTGTGGCTGAGGTGTTCAGGGGCAGACTGGCCCAGCGGAATACCGGGAATTTCCCGGTGGGCTGTCGTCTAATGGGCCATCATGTCCGCACACCGTTGCACCTCACTCCAACCGGCTCTGCATCCGTGCTGTATGAGGCACACAGAGCCCGATCCACTGCCTGTGCCACATGCCAGACACGCAGGGGTGACGTCATAGGGAGGGCTGTTCTCAACCCATTTTCTGGGCCTAATTTGATTGTCAATATTCTTCTGAAGGTGTTCAGTGCATTGTAAAGGATTTAATTTGATTGTCAGTATTCTTCTGGAGGTGTTCAGTGCATTGTAAAGGATTTAGATATACCTCCTATTAAAATTAAAGGATGATCACGCCTAAATCCCTTAGGTAACTCTGAAAATCTCAGACTTACTGATTGGGAACGTACACCCTGTTCCTAATGAACATGCACAAGTCTGAACTGTCTCTAGCAAATTAAACATATTATGGATATTAAACACATCTTGAAGAAATGTACAGACAGCCACTAGAGTAAATCATGTGTTTCTATTTTCATGGTAACTGCTCCCCTTCCCCAACTTCCTCCATACCCCATTAGGGGGGTGTCTCCCAATTTTTAGCACAATTGGCCATTTGTCCCATTTGTAGGAGCAATCAGTACTAATACCTAGTTTTGTCCCCAAAAAATAAGGATGTCCAGGACTGGGCTTAGAAAAGAGACTGTCCCAGCCAAAATGGAATGTATGTTCAGCCTAAGAATAAATTCATTAGTCTATAGGAGTTATCTTTCAAAAGTTTTCTTTTAACTGTTAATAATAAGCAAATGTAAAGTTTATACTTGTTCTAGAAATATTACAGATTCCAACAACTTTCCCCATTCTAAGCATAGGGAGTAGGTGCTCATAACAGAACTTTATGGAACAATGAAGAGGTGAAAGGAAACATTCTGAGGACAATCATTTTATTACAGCATGCTGTAACACATCCCCCATGATGAATATATAGGGATATGTTATATAGGCTACACTCAAATCTCATAGGGTATATCTACACAGCAAGGCTTAACTCAAAATAAGCTACACAAATTGAGCTATGTCAATGGCACAGCTTATTTCAAAATTGGGAGCATCTACACAGCAATTATTTCAAAATGGAGCACTCTTCTCCAACTTTCCTTACTCTTCATACCATGAGGGTTACAGGAGTCGGAGTAAGAAGTCCTCCAGCGTGACAATTTTTTGACATTATTTCAAAATAATTGCCTGCTGTGTAGACATGGACTAAGTTATTTTGAAATAATGTCGCTGTGTAGATATACCCTTATTGAATTTAGACTTATTTTGATGCAGTCCCCAACATAGGAAAAATTTCCAGGAAAGCTAATATGAATTTGTCTACATAAAGACTTTAATTCTCTACATTGATAAAATTAAAAACACAAAGGGCCAGATTTTGACACCACAGACAGCAGTCGCTCGCATAAGCAATCCCACTGAAGTCAATGGAACTGCTTGTGTAAATGATTACCCATCAGTAGGATATGAGTTTGAGGGTTTCGAGAGTCTATTGTTTGTTTGTTTGTTAATGTCTTCTGATCTACAGGCTGATCCTCCCTGGTCTGGCACCCTTCGGACCTGACTGGTCTTGCATAGGGGATTTTTCTGGACCAGGGAAGGTGAATTCAGTTCACTCCCTCTCACCCCTGCGAGGGTTTCTAGAGTCTATTGTTTGTTTGTTTGTTTGTTAATGTCTTCGGATCTACAGGCTGATCCTCCCTGGTCTGGCACCCTTGGGACCTGACTGGTCTTGGATAGGGGATTTTTCTGGACCAGGAAAGGTGAATTCAGTTCACTCCCTCTCACCCCTGCCAGCTTCCCCCGCAGTCCAGATGAGCCACGTTCTAGCTCATGGCCCGTCCCCAGAACAGCTGAGCTGTGCACCGGCTCCTGGCACCCCACCCCCAGCACAGCTGAGCCACGCAGCCCCAGTCCCCCTCGCAGCCCAATTGAGTTGTGCACCTGCTCCTGCTCCCCCATCCCCAAGCAGTACAGCTGAGCCATGTGCTGCCTGCCCCCTTCCTCCACCCTGCAGCTCCAGGGCTCTCTGATCCTGGAACATCTGTGGTCATGCCCAACCACAGATGTTGCCGGACCAGAGAATTCCGGATTTTAGAGGTGTAACCTGTAGCAAGAAATGTTCTGTAGCTCAAAGAGCTATTGAATGGAGTATCCACTGCAAAAGATTATGCCATCAAACAGAGTATATACTTGCACATACTATCATGTAAGTTATTTTTACCTCTTAGCTCAATCTGAAGAATTCAGAAAATTATATTAAATTCATGTCATGAATTTATTCTATTAAAAGAATCATCCATTGTGGAGATCATTCTCTGACATAATACATACATGAAAGCCTCTCTTGAATTTTTATCTCCTCCAATATTTTTGATTTTTTTATCAAATCCAGCTTCTTTATGTTGCATTAGAGCAAAGACAAGAAAGAAAAGTACTTCTATCCCTCTGAGACAGCTGCAAAAGACTGAATGTGTCAGTCTGTATCTAAGTAGCAACGTTTTTGGAAACCAGGGGGGAAATAGAACAACCAGTGCCGCCTTCATCATCCTTCTCTTCAGCTTGTGAGTGTTGTACTATTCCACTGCTGCAGGAAGACTTTTTGCCATCTCTCCTTCCACAAATAAGCATGTCTTGCCTTTGATTAAACAGAAAATCACTTTCAAAATAGGTGCTGTGTAGATGCTCCCTATTTCAAAATAAGCTATTTTGAAATAAAATACACAATTGACGTAGCTCAAATTGAATAGCTTATTTCGAGTTAAGCCCTGCAGTGTAGTTACACCCTATGTGGTTTATTTATGCCTTGATCCTACAGATGCACATGAGCAGCAGTGTTTCCTCTAAGCTGAGCACTTGGGTGGATGCACAGCAGAGATTCATATGCCACCCAGGTGATTAGCAGAGTGCTTACACTCATCAGCAGCTGGCAGCATGTGTTTCTATGTGTTCACATCCAGTATTTATGACACAGCTATTATTAAAAAGCATTTACTTTCCAAAGCACCACATTTTGCCTTTGGCTTGAATCAAAAAAAGACCAGTTTTACAGAACTGAGACTTAATGGTGGTAAAGAACTTTCAATGTCTCCCATAGCACATGTCACTCTCTAGCATGGTATCAGCATCATCTTCATAATACCATGGAAACCACTATGCTTGTCCCTCCTGTGCACTTGCTACTGGTTCCCTAGTAAGAAGGAGAGTTTCTCACTTAATTCTGTCTGACATCCTGTATTCTAAAAAATGTGCCTGTAGATACACTAACCAAGGCTATATGGTGTATACTTCAAATAGAAATCTGAGGTGCTCATTGCTCTTTGCTGGTCCACGAGGTTTTTTCTTCTGCACTTTCAATTGGTGGGATGAACCTACATCAACAGTGGAATTGGAGGCAGCAAATCTCAGAGAAGAAGCAGTTAAAATGGGAATGGTAAGATCTGGAAAGGCAGTTCTTGTCTAGGTTCTAGTATTTCTGAAAGCACTATTCATAGCCTCCTGGGGGAAGAAAAGGAAGAGATAACCCCAAGATACCAGAATTTCAGTTTAAAGGGAAAAAAAGCAGATGAAAGATTTAGAATGAGCAGCTCAAAACTTGAGCAAACAAAACTACAAATTACACACATACACACACACATCTATATCTGAACATGACACTAGGCTATGTTATGATAATCCATAACTGAGATGTAAGCTTGAGGCAATGTGAAATTTTGAATGACCTTTTTATGAAATGGCCTCAAATTCGTTTCGGGAAAAAAAGCTGATGAAAGATTTAGAATGAGCAGCTCAAAACTTGAGCAAACAAAACTACAAATTACACACATACACACACACATCTATATCTGAACATGACACTAGGCTATGTTATGATAATCCATAACTGAGATGTAAGCTTGAGGCAATGTGAAATTTTGAATGACCTTTTTATGAAATGGCCTCAAATTCGTTTCCACCTTGTATACGGTACCTAGTTAGGCACTAGATACATTTTGCATGAGTATGATTACTGAAATAGCTTGTATTCAGAAGATTTTGTGTTGACTTTCAGGATGTGTGACTTTCATAATCTTAAAGGAAAATGAAACCATTTGCTAACATTTGTCAACAGTTGATACCTTTTAATTCCCAGTTGGATTCCTGCCCCCTCCAAAAAAAAAGAATAAAAAAATACTGTAGTTTAAGCATTTTAATTCCCAGTTGGATTCCTGCCTCCTCCAAAAAAAGAATAAAAAAATACTGTAGTTTAAGCACAGCTATCAGACCTGAAGCAGTAATTTTTTCAGGGAAGTCCATTAGACTATCTTATGCTGGCTGTCATAATACATGGTCATAGTGGTCCATTCTTTCCTCAAAAATCGATGGCTCTATGCAATTCACAAATCAGCCTTTCAATGCATACTTCTATTAACAAGGGTACATGTGCATTCAATAAGGTTTATGAATCACATCTCATCTTGAACATGAACCCTCATTAGATCAGAAGAGTAATTTTGGGTTATTAATCATGCCCATTATTCATACTTTTGTTGTGTTTAAATAGAATTACGCTGATGCTATCATTGCAGCTGGGTAGACTGTAATTCTGTTACCTTTTACAGAACTTTGATAGTCCATTCAAGAGAGAGATGTTAATGCCAAGACATGCTTAGGACTCCTTATGAGCTGATTAATGTGGTCTTGGCAAAGTTTGTGGGTAATCCTGCCAACTGTAACTGAGAAGTGTGCTTACCTGGCAGGGGGCAGCCTAGGATTTCCAGTCTCATACAGATGCTCCCTTCTTCGTACCATGATCGAGGGTTTATACGGATATAACGAGCAACAATTGGTACTGGCAGCTCATTGAGAACCGGGATCTCTTTCTCACTGTTTCCTTCAAAAATCTATTCAGGTTCAAACATATAAAAATATCAAGTTCAGTTCAACAGAGCTTTCCAAACTTTTGGAACTAGATAAAACTCAAAGATTGGAATGAGATTATGCCCTGATAGGCAGGTGAGGGGGAATCAGAGAGGAACTGCTTTTCATAAAGATCACACAGTCAGCTCAGATATTAGTGGAACAGAGTAAAAGGGGAAAGTGTCACAGTCCCATCTTCTCCATAGCTTCTCTCAAACAATGTCCACCCTAAAGGCATAGAACTCACATGCCTGACTTTTCCATATGTAGAGACTGTCTGTGGCCCTTGCACACCACATGCAATGACATATAGCTCCTTTGCATATGTTCCTCACTCATGCCAACATCTTTCAGGAACCTGGCCCTCAGCATTCATAGCACATTCCCAAATCTTGTTCAAACACCTTTAAACCCAAGTTCCTCCCTGCATTGCATGAGTGCTCTTTGAGATGCATAGGAAGAGGATGAAGTAGCCTTTGAACTCATATCAGAAAGGGAGATCTTATTGTACTACCCACTGGTACACAAGAGGTTTGAGTCAAATTAGTGGTCTGCCAAACAGAGCGAGTGGCCAGAATTCCACTGCTGCTGCTGAGAGGGCATCCTGCTCTCAATAGCGTGGTCTAGACAGAACATTCTTTTCTAAGGGAAGAGCAGAAAAGTGCATTTCACTTTTAATTCCCCCCAGCTCACCCTGAGATAAGCTACCTGTAGGGTGTGTCAAGCTCTAGAAAAGCACAGTTCACTATGCATGTGGGGACCCCTTCAGCTCAACACAGGAGGCCAGATCTTCATCTACTGTAAATTGGTGTCATTCAACTGACATCAACGGATTTACACCAACTAAGGATCTGGCTCATGGAGGGAATTCTAGGGATGTTAGATAGCATGTAATTTAACAGTTGTGTAACGACATGAAATTTTAACGGTTACATGACTATTCGATAGCCCCCAGATGTGAGGCTGGCAGCCATTGCGCTCTCGGCTCTACTCCCAGGGAGCCCCCTGCCAACCCGCACTGCTACCTCTGTATCTGCGGCATGGCGGGCGGGAGCCCGTCTGTGAGGAGAGCCAGTTTAAAAAGTGGCTTCCTGTGCAGACCGGCTCCTGCCTGCTGCCCTGCACTGCTACCTCAGATACAGAAGCAGCAGCATGGGATGGCAGCAGCCCTTGTCCGTGGGGTATCTTAGCTCCCCACAGACAGGGGCTGCTCCTGTGGAGCAGCTTCTGTCTATGGTGGGCCCAGGCTGCTGCAGACAGAGGTTGCTTTGGGGTCCCACCCCCACCCCCACACTGCTGCAGTGCGGGGTAGGGGGAAAGGCAGCTGTGTGAAGCTGATGCTATGGGAAAATGGCTTTTAACATGCCTCCCCCCCCAGCACCAGATTCTGCCCCCCTTTTCCCCTGCTGCTGCCTCTGAAGGAAGCTGCAGGGGGGGCAGGCTGGTCCACAGTGGAGCATGTCCAGAGGGGGTAGGCAGGTCTGCTTGAAAGCCAGCTCCCCATGTGTGTCAGCTCCCACCTGCCCGCTCACCCTCTGCACTGCTGCCTCTATTAGAGGTAGCAGCATGGTGTTGGACACACAGATCCTCTGATATAGAGGCAGCATGGGAGGGAGTGCCTGTAGTCAACAAGATTAACCAATAAGCCCCCCTCCGCCTGCCTCTGATATAGAGGCAGCATGGGAGGGAGTGCCTGTAGTCAACAAGATTAACCAATAAGCCCAGGCTTGTCAGTTAATCATGTAGTTGTCTACACATTGACATCCATAGGGGATTCCATATTTGATCTATCCCCTCCTGTGTGCAAGAAGCAGGAGGGGGGGTCACTTCTTCAAAATCATATCTACACTGCAAGGATTGGCAGACATGAGTCAGGAACATTCAAACAATGAAGAGGACTAGGGGCATGTATACATATTCCCCTTGTGGCCTCACAGATCTTCTCGAGGACAGATACCACTGGCAAGTCAAAAGTCAGTGTGATTCCTCTTTTCTCAGGTAATGCTTTCCCACTATTCTTTGTAGCACTCCTGTTCTGTTCTACTCACCATGTCTCCAGATCCATTTTTGACAGTGATCCATGCGTGACTGTCATTGCTCACCATTACTTTGTAAGACGTCACCCAGTCACTCCTAGACAGAAGGCAAAGGATTTTGTTGTTTGTGGTCATGTGTGTTGGGTTTTGTTTGTAAATGTATTCAAGTATGTTTGATAAAACTGCTAGTTATTGAAATCCCAAATGGCAAAATAATATCAGCTCTTGGCTGGGAAACCAAAATTCAGAACTGGCTTTGGCAGACAATTTAAAAACTCAAGAAGATGGAAATGAACAGCACACACAAGATAATGTTCAGTCCTCTCCTTCCTCCCAGTATATAAAACAGAGTCTAGCTTCTTTGATAGTTTATTCAGAGCTGGCGTACTAATTCCAGAGAATTTCCATTACCCAATAAACTTTGATAGTTTATTCAGAGCCGGCGTACTAATTCCAGAGAATTTCCATTACCCATGAATATGCTCCCCACCACTCCCCCGCAGCCACAAAACACTAGCAATTCCTACCATCACTGACAGTGAGGATGAAAAAAGTTAATAAAAACTCTAGGAATAAAATCCCCTGAATTTAAGCAACAGCATTTCCATTCAGTGGCTCATCCTACTTCTAATAACAGGCTCTTTCCATTTCCAGATGCAAAAATGAGGGCTGTATGAATCCTAAAAAGTATGGTATTTCAAGAAGGGGCATATGAACTGAATCCTGAAGTTGGGTTCCCAGCAGATGGAAAGGGATCAAACGCTACAGGTTCACAAAGAGGTGTCTTACTGAGTTCCCAGCAGGATAAGTCCCTAGCTGAGTGAGGATTTGGGGCATTACTGAAATATGAATACAAAACGGGAATAATATGGTCCAGGTTCCACAGACTTGAACTCTTAAGAGGCCCTCCCCTCCACATCACCTGCAGCCAGACCCTCTCTACTTCTAGCAGCTAGTCCCAGGACAGGAACTCTCATTCTTACCTAATGGCCCTTGTCCTTCTCAACTTATCAGGGGTTTGTAGAGGAGTTAGAAGCCATGGCTTCTATGCTCAACTGAATCAGACCTATTCAGAGCCTGTGGTCAATCTGATATGGAGCACAGCCCCTATTCTCTGGTACTGTACTCCCTATTATGAGTGGAGAGAATAGGAGGGGCAGGGAAAGGGCAAAGCATTAGCTCCTCTCCCCACCACCGCTACCACTCACAGGCCAGAAGGGTTAGTCAGGTGTGAGGAAAGAAGTAAGCTACACCCTTTGATGGGCAGCAGTCACCTATTTCCTTCCCAGCCCCTCCTTCCTGGGTTTGAGAGCCAGCATGGATCGGGGAAGGAACTGTCTCTCACAGAGGTGCTTCTGAGTCACAGTTCCTGGCTGGGGTTATGTACCTAATGCAGCTCCTTTACTTGGACTAAAGTCATAATTTAGCCCTTAGCTAGTTCTAGAAAGTACTATGGCTTATTGGTGATCAGTATAGGAGCCTGAGAGGCAAGAGGGAGCTTTACCAGCTCTCTAAACAATCTTATCCCATGTTCACCAAACTTCTGCATGGCTGGCAACTGATATTTTCCTTTCTCTTTCATCGGGAGGTGACAGCTCAGATAATGAGTGAACCAACCCCCGCTAGCAAAAACATAAAGACTTTGTGGGGCTGTTACTGGGTTTGTCTCATTAGTAGGAGTATTCCCATTACTGTAAATAAGATTGTGGATGATAGTGAGCACTTAGGGTCAGACTTACAAAAATACGTAGGTACCTACACATGCCAATAAGAGCCCAGGGGGATTTTCAGAAGTCATTAGGCAGGTGAGGTATCTGACTCCCATTGAAAATTAATAACAGTTAGGCACTTGGCTTTGGTACCTATGTGCATTTTTAAGCGTCTTTGTAAATCTGTCCCCCCAGCCCTGAGCATTTTCAAGACCAGTTAATTGGTTTGCATTTTGAATCAATATTCAGCCTTTTTTTAAAAGTATTACTAATTTAGACTGCAAAAACTTGATTATCATCAGGAAGAGTGGACTTTTTGCCTGTGTAGTTAAAAGCTAGAAAACCACCCATAATATACATGCTGCTGCGATGTTTATTAAATAATTGTTAAAAGACAGAAGCCCTACACTGAGTTTTTCTGTAACTCAATGAAGTATCTCTAGAGACAGAGGATTTACTAGGGTATTAGTTCTGAAAAGTGCTATGCTGGCATCTCAAGTCTTTCTTGGTGTAAAATGATACAAAATAATAGAGCAACTTCAGAGCTCTGAATACATTTAGTTCACTTATAGTAGCATCTTTCTTTCCTGACCTTGTGAAATAATGGGGGGATTGCCCTAGGAGAGTCACTGTCATCCATGACCTAGGCTATGTCTAGACTGCAGGCTTCTTTTGGAAGAACTTTTTTTCGGAAGAGATCTTCCGAAAAAACGTCTTACTAAAAAGAGCGTTCACACACAAAAGTGCATCAAAAAAGCAATCTGCTTTTTCAAAAGATAGCATCCAGACTGATTGGCTGCTCTCTCACATTTAAGCTGTGATTACTATTGACGGAGTGGCCACCAGGGCACCTGTGCTTTTTCCTCTTCTTCTGAAAGAACACCCTCTTCTCCGTCCACACACGCCTTTTTCCGAAAGCACTCTCCCAGAAAAAGGTTTCTTCCTCACAGAAAAAGGATTGCCAACACCAGAAAAACTCCTCTGTTCCTTTGATTTACTTTTGGAAGAATGCGATTGCAGTGTGGACGTAACTCAGGTTTTGTTGGAAAAACGGCCATTTTTCCAACAAAATTCTGTAATGTAGACATACCCCTACAGAGCCAATTTACATCCAGCAGAGATGGAAATGAGGAATTTAGGAGATAACCCCTGCCAAAACACACACAAAAAAATCTGCAATCAAAAAGCTCACACACACACACACACACACACAATGGGTTTTTAAATTTTGTTTTGTTTTTTGCTATTCTCCAGGGCTACTTGTTAAGGCCAGGATGGATAACCAAAAATAGTTTTATTACAAACCCAAAGGCATCTTTCCTTTCCTGAAACCAACTGAAATCTACCACAGAATATTTGTATTTGGATTTTGTAATTTAAATAAGGATAAAAAGTAAAAGTCAGTTCCCCTTCCACCTCCTTCCATGGTTTTCTTAAGTAACTGGTTTTGAAAGTAACAGGAAAATAAATCAAGCATTGAGTTTCTCTAAGTCAATATTCCAAATCACTTCTGAAATCCCTTATAAGTGAGAATGTTATAATACCATTCCATAGATGTAGAATGTAAAACCCACCAGCACACAGCATATGACAGTATTAAACATCTTTTTTTTTATTGTGGCAAATGTTCTGGTCCCTAACATTTTCATTCAACGGAATTAGCTCATTCTACTGACACAAGGAAGCAGGTGGACGCTACAATTATATTCCTGACTTGTTTTTCTGTCATCATATCTTCATTTTAATTTTCACTTCACACACTTATAAATGTCCACATTTGCACCAAAGGAAAATGGGCACTGATCAGATTTTAACCTTCTTGGAAGTGATAAAAAAGTAACCTGCTTCTCAGACAATGTCTGTCAATTAAAATACAAATGTGGTTAGATTTTAGCCCAATACATATGCAGCTTGAAATGACTGCACGGGATTGGTGGTAGGAGATAATGCACGCTAATGTAGCAGACGACACATCTGGCCCTCATTTCGCTGTAGTCTGTAGGTTAGGAGGTATGTGATAGCCTGCAACAAATAAGCATACCTTTGCCCTTGCTCAGAGCAGGGAAGTGATCCTCTTTTCCCTGCAGTGTGCTGTGATCTGGGTCCCACTGACACTGACTGAAAAATTTCCTTTGAATTAAATAATTCAGGAACAGATGCATAGAGCATTGTTTTCTGCTTTCCCTGAGAAATCCTGCCACAACCAGCAGGAGTCCCTTGGCATAGGAAACACTGGGCAACATCTCTGTTTCACCTTGCTGAACTGGATACTACAGGGTTTAGCTCATGTGCTAGACTTGACATTGGCTCTGAGATCTGAAGACAACAACAATTTCAACAGTACTTCACATCAAAACTCCTCAAGGTTCTTTTCTAAAAGATGTATAAACATTTTAACAGCAGAACTTCCCCATTAAAGGGAATATTGGAGTACTTTCCAGTATTTTGGTCATCTATAGCTCTTTTATAGGGAACATGCTGAGAAGCTGTGCTGAATTAATTGTACAAATAGCTGAATCTACCACAATCCTGTAGTATACTAAATCAGAGATACCCATCTGCTTGTGAACATATGAAAACCTAATTTATGGAAATTCCTTAGAACAGAGTCATACTGAATTCCTTATCACGCTATTTTTTTGTGCACGGGCTTGACATCACAAATCTTTTTGAAACACAGTCGCCATTAAAGGGCTTAGATGTTGTTTTGCTGTGGGCTCGACAATTAAGGTAATCTACTCGCCACAGGCGAGTAGATTATAGCCTGGCAGAGCACTGCAGCACGATCAGCGCATGCACAACGTGTCTGCGCATGCGCAGCGTGCTGAACTACGTGGCTGGCGAGCGGGGCTCGCCACGGCTCAGCGAACCCTGGCTGTACCTATTCCTCAGTGTGCTGATACAGATTTAAATACAGTTTGCATGACCTGCCCACAAACCAAAAGGTATGAAGGGAGAAAACCTACGGTGACAAGAAATATGGATCTATTAGATTTCAGCTTGATTCAGGTGTTTCCCCATGAAAAACATTTCTTGCTTTAGTTGTTTCTGCCAGACTGTTCTATGTAATAACAACATAGCTACAAAAGTCAAAAAAGTAATTTGTTATGAAGATTTTATTTTCTCTGAGAAAGTTTTATTAACCTCACAGAGGAGAGACACGGCAATCAAAACACAATTGAAATACACAGTTTGTACCTCCCTAATGCTGGACTCTCTGGTCCAGCAACATTCAAGATCCAGCACTGAGCCCGGGAACAGGGGGCTCTGGTGGTGGGGCAGGAGCATGGTGAGGTGTGGGGAGAGGCGGTGACTCAGACAGGAGCCCCATGTCAGTAGGGACAGATGGCGCAGTGGGGCATTTTGGCCCCAGTAGCCGGGCGGTGGT